CACAGAGTGGAGTACATAAAACAAGGCCAACCGTAATTGACGTCCTGCCAAATTTACCTATTGATAAAAAGTTGTCATTTCGGTCCAAAGACAAGCTTGTCCATCACTATTAGTTATTCTTGTACCGTTTCACTGAGTCTGCTGTGACTTTGTGCCAACAATTTCGTTCATTTTTGTAGCTTTTCTCATTTTTTTATTGCCTTATTCGATGTTATGCCACTTGGCTTTCCGACTTTCACTTGAGAATGCTCTTTGTCTGGTACTCAGCCGTTTCCCTCAGCTCATCTTTTCCCGATGTGATAATCCAGACTGGTGTGCCATGTGAATAATGATGCTCCAGATGTACAGGCAGAAGCATTTTACGAATTTTTTCTATCATTTGCCACCAGCATTTCTACGTTTTTTCAATGTCGTAGACTTTGATAGCGCCGCGTGTCCATGACAGTTTGAATAATAATTTTGAAAGGGTAAGAAGCAGGGCAGTACAACAAAAAAAAATGCAAAAATCTGATTTGCAAACAATGTATTCGGACAAATGTAATTTAGCAAACACATATTTTCAAATAAACAGGAATAAAATTATACTTTTTATCCAATTTTTCAATAGACACGTAACTGTATTTCAATTTAGGTTCTGATATATTTTAGATATGAATTCGCTTTATACATGAAAGAACAATGGCGTAAACATATGCCATTTAATTACACGAAATCGTTTTTCGGATGCTAGGGGCTGCCTAGCGGGGGTCTTTTTCATTTAAAATGCAAATAAATGCACTTTTCATATGAAATGAACAATTTTGTTTACGCCCTTGGGTAGAGAGGGACAGTGGGGTAATAAATATTTTCACAAACGCGTCTGAAAAGCATGCTTTAAACCATTTACTTGCCAAGAAGTGAGAATAAATGTGTAAAATATTTTGGTGGTTTAGTAACAAAAAAAAAAACAATAATATATAAAATATTAATTCATTGTTTAAATGGTCAAGAATGAATATTTTTTTCTAGATTAAGATATAAATTAGTGCATGCATAAATATTCTATTATTTTTAAAAATTTGTATGCCTAGAAATACATTATCATGTTGAACCATACCCCTTACCAGAGCACTGTTTGCTGCGAAAAAATTTCGCAACAATTTAAAATAAATTACATCCAATTAAATAAAGGAAAGCCAAATACCATTTGTCGACAATTACCTCGAAAATGAGTTTCTCTGTTCGTTAAAAAGGCCAAATTTATTAATACTACTTCTTGGCTGAAAGTTTAATGGAAGATAATTTAAAGCAGAAGGTTGCCGAATGGCAATTATTTAACCGCAGCAAATAAAATATGGTATTTTATAACTTATTCAAATAACTATCGCTGCAACCGAAAAAATAAAGTTTTTTTGAAAATTTTCGGCATGTTCGTGCAGTAACAATTTAATTTATTTATGCAACAGAAATAGAAACAACAACAAGAACGGCAAACAATCAACTGACCAAATTCAAACTGGTTGGCCAAGTTCTAAAACAAACATAACATGGTGAAAATATTTGCATATGAACTTTCATTTGGCTTACGATTTTGTTATTGTTTTTTTTGTCGTTGCTCATGAATAATATGTTTGCTTGTTACGAGTCGGTAGCGAAACTGAAAGACTGAGCCAACTATCCAGTTGTGGGTCCGCATGAGGATGTGTAGGACCTTCAAAGTCATATTTAAAAGAAGGGAATTCTCGGCAGAAACTGGTCACATAATTAGTGTCAATCTCGGAGCCCCTACACCAGTCTAATGTGAGCCGCTACCCTCCAGAGCTGCTCTGAATCTTTTATCCCTAGCATATGTTCCATCACAAGACTTGCCCACTTAAGTATGCAACACAAAATTCTCGTACGCTGCAAGCTTACCAAAAATACCAAAAAGCCAAGTCCAACAACTGACTGCCATATTGTTTGTATAGTTGTTGGTTTTAGTGTTGCCTGGTTGGGCGTTAGTGAGCGTGTGTTTGTCTGTGCTATTTACTTAGCCAAAACGTGCGTAAAGTTTTAATTATAAACTTTTTTCTGACACTCCTTTGAAGAAAGTCCATTGAGGGTTAAACGTCTTCAAAGATTCCATTCTGTGGCCGGCACATTTAACGACACTTTAAAGAGGCCATTTATTCGATTTATGGAAAATTAGTCAGACACCTGGCCTAGTAACTCTAATTAAGATTAATTGAATGATTTATGGGCTCATTTTTCATCAGCCTCTGGCCAATAGCCGAAATTTAAATTCATTCGTTTGAGCACTTGAACTCGTTGTTGTGTGCATTCCAAATGTGTGTAAAACCTTTCTGTATAATTGAAAACTTTCTGGCCAGTGGAGAAAATCAATTTAATTTGCTGATGGGAAAAAAATTAATTTGATGTCGATACGTATATGTACTTAAATGGCAATGGTCAAGAGTGCAAATCAGATCAAATGGTTTATGAAGGGTCATTTTATGTGCGAGATGAAAAATCGAATGAAAAATATTTACTGAAAAGTTTAAAGCGTTAATGGCTTTTAAATTAATTTAATTACAGTATTAATTTAACGTATTTTCCATCATCCTGGGAGAGAAAATGGCTTTCTTCGAATAATAATCAATACCAATTCTGCAGCGATAGCTGTAGACAAGCTCTGTTTGGACGGATAATAATATGCTTCGCTTTGGAAATCAACAAAACTTCTTCTTCTGTGCTGGCTCTGTACTGGCTTTTCGATTATTGTATGGAGAACTGCCCTGCCCAACTCAGAGTCTGAGTGACTGAGTGATTCAGCGAGTGATTGAGCAGTTGTTTGGATATGCACTTCAATAAAACATTCAATGCATAACTACAATGGGCATAAGCTATGCCTCAGTGCCAGAGTTCACTTGACTCGCACTAATTCCCGCACAAGGATAATCGTGCTGTTGATGTCGATATACGGACTTCAGAACTGACTGAGCCAGACTGGAGCCATTCTGTCTGCCCACGAGTGCCTCCTAAGTACGCATATTCAATTCTTTGGCTTAACATATTCAGTCTTTCGAAACTATGTATTTAGGAACATCAAACTTGATTCAGCTTTAAGAGTTTAGTATTTATATAATAAATAAATCATAAATATAAGCAAAGGTAACAAAAAATTTATCGCCCCTAAATTTCCGTTGCACGTCGGACGTCGGGACATTGAACTTCTTAGCACGCGTCCTAGGCACTGCTAAAAAATAATAACACAACACAACTAAAAAGAAGCCCGAAAAAAATATACATATAAGTAACAACTTCCACAAAGCCGCACGTAACATTAAACTTCACAGTCACAACATATTTGGCTCTGTGACGCTTTCTTTAAAGTTGCCACAAACTTCAAATCAAATGGGAGCGCACGCCGTTGCAAGTATGCACTGCTGGGGTACGCTGGGGTAATACGAGACCAGCACGCGATGGCAGCGATGCACGGATACGGAAAGGGAGTATGGTTTACGGGTATACGGGTGCTGGATTCGAATGGTTATGGATCTGAAAAAGTATTCATGCAGTCGACAAGTGGAGCAATTTTTAGAAAACGGAAGACTTTTAATTTTATGTCGACTAAGATAAGAAACTAATCTAATAAATTGGTTGATAACAGTTCTATAATAGAGCTACGTGTTTGCTAATCTAACTTTAACATTTGAAAATTGAAAACAATGATGTCTGAACATTAATTAAAGCTCAATTAACTTTAAAAAAAAACTATCCTTTAACACCTTTTTCTCTTTAAATACTTGTATCAACTTTAACACAAGTAAACAAAATTAATTGTTGGCTAACAGAGCCTCCCAGCTTCAACAAACTTTGTTAGATTTAATTATAATGTTTAACTTTTGAGCACCTATGCTTAATGTCGTACCTTTTTATCGTTTAGCCGATAATGCCGGAAACGTTAAAGTAATCAACTCAATTAGCCATTCCATAGGCATGTCTCCACACCCACGCTCACACAAACAAAACAAACACAAAACTCAATTAGATGCCATAACTAAATAATCACAAACACATTTAGCCAAACAAACTGAAGAACTCGAGGCTCGTCGGCAACCAAGAAGCGTTGCTGAGGAAGCGGAAAAAATGCCTGAAAACCAGGTCAACAACAAGAACAACTTGGCCAACAATTTTGAAAACAATGACGACAACGGCAGAAGCGGTAAGGCATGCTTGGAAAATTGCTTGAAATGTTGAGAAGGCAGAAACGCAACAGTCGGGCCGAGACGCCTCCGAGAGATTGCAGGCCACTCCGAGGGGGTGGAAACACACAGAAGAGGTCGCCGGGGGTAAGGCATTCCAACATGTGACGCACGTGACAAAACTTGTCAAATGACTTAACTTCACTATGTCTACGAATCGCGCTTCGGTTCGCAAACGTACTAAAAAGAAGTACTGCTCTGGGTCTGGGTCTGTGGGTTTTGTGCCCCAAACGACACGCCTAAGAAAACTCTGGTCTCTGTAAAACAATGAAAACGGGGGAAAAATAAATATCAGTCGCGGACTTGTTGCGCCTTGGGCTAAATTATGACATCGGGGAGCTGGGGAGATCGAAGTACTCTCAGCAACGCCATTAAGCACTCGGCTCTGACAAAAGGGCATCGGAGTGAAAGTATATTAAATTAAAAGATAGCTTGGATTTACTTTAAGAGAATTCTCAGTATGAAAACTATGGGAGCTATAATTGAGCAAGATTAAAAATAAAAAATAAAGAATACTATCTAGAATCTAAAATTTATAAAATTCTGGAACTCATGTCGTATGAGTAATTTTTTTTTTTTTTAGAATTTTAGAAATACATTTTTCAATCGCAATATTGCCAAGCATTATTAGCAACTAATCAATGAACTGAGCCATTGTGCATATATGTATTATATGTATGTGATTTAAAATTATATTCAATTTTTTTTTGGAAATCAAGTAGGCTATGAACTGAGCAGGCCTTGAAAACCAATTTTCCATTTTGAAAAATTCAGGAGCTGTGTGAGCTGAGCACAGACCTCATTCTCGTTTCGGTTCTCATACGACAAACATCTTTTGGAAAAAAACCAAATTTATTTAATTCCAAATCCTACTTCCGTAACCAGGCTAATGTGAGTTTAAATTCAATTTAAATCAAATATATATAATTTTTATTAAATTTATGTTGAATTTTATTTAAACATTTTTGAAATTTAATCAAAATTTAATAATTTTTTTTTCAGAACAAGATGTGCAACCCGTGTATTAGCTCTATGCCCGGAACCTGCTGTGGACCTACTGGCGGACTGGGTCCCTGCATGCTCTGCGGACCCTACAACGGCCAATGGTTCCGATCCATCAACCACTGCTGCGGCCCCTGCGGACCATACGGCTGTTGTTCCTGCTACGGTCCTCACGGTGGTCACTGTTAGCCTGCTTAGAAGGAAAGTAGGATTTATCAAAGGATGTCTAAAACAGGAAATCGCTGCAGCAATGAAGCCTCTTCCAGCGAGTGGAGCCCTAGGAAATAGTACCAGTTTGAAATGGATGCAAAACATTTGTTAGTGCCAGGAGTTGTCGCGACTGATGCTGGGAACTTTCGAGGATCTCGCGCTTTTTTAAAACCAACACCATAGTCGTCAATAAATTTTTACGTATCAATTAATATATCTTGTGATTGGTCTTTTTAATGTGGTCTAGAGGTACTAAAACAATTCTTACAATCGAAGTTTTTTCAAATAAATATGGTCTAGATGACAGATTAAGCAAAGCAAAGTAGTGGACCAAGGTGGAACAGCCAGGTGGAACAATACTAACAAAATTATGAATAAAGAATTATTTTGAAAAAAAAATATTAAAAATTTACAGCTTGATCTGATCATTTTTATACCCTTGCAGAGGGTATTATAATTTTGTCCAAAAGTGTGCAACGCAGTGAAGGAGACATCTCCGACCCTATAAAGTATATATATTCTTGATCAGGATCACCTCCTGAGTTGATATGAGCATGTCCGTCTGTCCGTCTGTCTGTCCGTCTGTCTGTTTCTACGCAAACTAGTCTCTCAGTTTTAAAGCTATCGACTTGAAACTTTGCACACACCCTTCTTTCCTTTGCACGCAGTATATAAGTCGGAACGGCCGGGATCGGCCGACTATATTCTATAGCTGCCATATAACTGATTGATCGGAAATGGTATAACTTTGGTGTTTTTAGAGTTAGAGAGTTCAAAATTGACATGAGAGCTATTTTTGGCAAATTATTACGACATGCCAAATTTCATAAGGATCGGCCGAGTATATCCGATAGCTGCCATATAACTGAACGATCGGAAATGACCCAACTTTCGTGTTTTTGAAGATAGAAAGCTGGAATTTAGTACAGACTCTATTTTTGGTTAGTTGATCCAACCTACCAAATTTCATAAGGATCGGCCGACTATATCTTATAGCTGCCATATAACTGAACGATCGGAAATGACCCAACTTTTGTGTTTTTGAAGATAGAAAGCTGGAACTTGGTACAGATTATATTTTGATCCATCCATTTCTTAAGGATCGGCCAACTATATCCGATGTTTGCGATATATATATCCGGTTTTAGCTGCAAGGGTATATAAACTTCGGCTCCGCCCGAAGTTAGCTTTCCTTTCTTGTTTTAACTTCAAATTAAAATAAAAATGATTTTACAATCATACTGAATTTTGTTTCAATAACAACTATAAACGGTGATAAGGTGAATTATTTTACAGACCTTACTACATTGTGGTCTGCTTAAATGGTGATAAAAAAAATTACTTGCCATTCGAACTTTCAATTATGAAAATTAAATTTCCATCCAGAGATGGTAACAATTTTTGGAGCCAATTTAAGAGGAGTTTATGGTGCTTGTTTTTGGTTTTGCTACCAGTCCACGGGGTGCATTTAGGGCTAAAACCGATTTGATTGTAAATATTTGGCTCGTTTACAGCTAACGATACATCGGGGACCTGCCACAAAGTCGTGTAATGCTAATGGGCCTGTTGAGCGCCAATTTGTTTACGAGAAAACCCCAGAAAAGCGGAAGTATGTTGGGGGGAGCGGTGTAGCTCGTTTCTTTATTAAGGGCAGCTCCTACCCCAGTAGTTGATCGCATTTAATTCAAACATCAAACAAGAAAACATCAGCATCGAAGAAACAGGGAAACGAATAATGGTTCGATGCTGGATTACTTGGTGCGCTTCAGCCCACGGGAGCCCCCGAGGCTTGGGAAGTACTCCGAGCTGCTCAGATCTGGGGCCTGTTGCTTCCCTGAATAGCTAGACATGGCCTTGCGAAGACGCGACTCCGGTTGGGGGCGTGGATTGATATCGCCCTGACAATGGCGCAGGGCTGGTGGTACATAGACCTGGCGCTTGGCTTCCAACGGCTTCTCGGCTTTGACAATCTTCTCCAGATTCACTGGGTTCTGCGGCACCCCTGGTGGAATCAATGGTTTGGACATTTGGCCGTCTAACTTCCAAGGGCATGCAAAAAAGGCCAAGGCCTCCTTGGGGCCCTGGCCTATGTCGAGTCCATCGCCAGCAGACTCGCGCTGCTCGGACTTCTGCACCTTCACCTCACCGGTGACAGTAAATGGAGCCATAGATCCACAGCTAAAAGTCATCTGGATGGAGCGGGGCAGATGGGTATACTGCCTGCGATTCTCATCAGTGAAGTCAGACCACTCGTTGTCCTCGTCCATGGCCTCGTCCGAGAAACGTATTCCAAACTCCAGTGGCTTCTTGGCAGGATCCTTGGATCCAGATTGTCCTTCCATTATAGTATCGCCAGCACGACCATTTTCGGGATTGACAAAGGCATCTTGGGACAGCTTTGCCGATTCCTCCAGCGTTTTGTACAGCTCGTCGGTTGCCAGGTAGTTGGATTTTTTTTTTTTAACAATTTCTTGTCCTTCTTGGCAAAGAAGTCATCAAGAGTGGACATCTTAACGTGGTAATATTGATTCAGATTTTTTCCAGAGAAAAATTTAAATTTCGTGTTGATCTTTCAGATACCAAAATTTGTTTGAACAGTTACTATTGACGGGTTAGTTATTTTGTACTTCAAGGCCTACTTCATTCGATAGAAATATTTTTAAAATAATGGCTTTGTTTTGTAATCGAAAGTATTACACTTTTTATTCAATAATTGTTGGCCAATTATTTTGACAACAAACCTTTTATTTGCAAAAGATTTTGAGAAATTTTTAATGGCGTGTCTTAAATGTGAAAATATTAAGTCTTTTAAGATGAAAACCCTCCCAATCGCTGGTACTATACTGTCTTCCCCCACCACAGCCATCAAAACCGGACGGGAAAAAGTTGCTCGTGCTCAAAAGGCGTAATAACATAATTTTTTTGTCGGTGTTTCGGTTGTAGAGATGGACTGCGTACTGTGTGGCAGGCATGCTATCTGGTGGCATATGCCACTAATTAGAATTATGTGCGCGTAATGCCCTGGCCACGCCCCCGAACAGTGGCAGTGCAGTGGCCGCCCACTTTGGTGGAGTGGTGTGAGTGGCAGAGAGAGCGAGCCTTTTTATGCCACTGTGCCGTGGCACGAGTAGTCACATATGTTCATTATGTTTGCCAGCCGACGAGAGAAGCTGGAGGGGAACTGGAGAGGAGCTCCTCCAATCCTCGACGTCTGCTTGAGTAATTACCAGAAACCAGAAACAGAAACGCAATGTGAATGCGCTGGCAGAATGCAAGTGCAGGTCGTCCTTTTCGTCCTTGTCGCCGGCGTCGTCATTGCAAAAGCTTTTTATGGAATGACGATGACATAAAACAAATATGCTGGCCAAAAGGAACGAACAACAAGTTCTGAACATGTCTCTACTTAAATTTATTATTTAATTAGAGCGACCAGTTGGGTGTGGCAGTAAGGAGGGCGTTAGTTATGGAGATGGAATGAATGGAACTGCAGAAATGGTGTATTTAAAATTCAAAAAGTATTGCAACTAAATTCTATTCATTAAAAGTCAGGTAATGGACTCGAAGGCAATGGAATATTAGGTTCCTTCGATTTCTGACAACTCGCTCTGCTATATTGCCCCAAGGACTTTCATAATTTTGTGTACGTTTTCTATTGGTTCCGGGTGTGGGGAAATCAACCTGCAATTGTCAGTACATAATTAATAATTATTCAATTAACACCAGAGGCCACTTAAAAGATGAAAGTCGAGTTTGTAACAGAAAAATATCAAAACGGTACGCAGAAACCAATTTTTTACAAAGTACCCTCTCAGTTTTTAATTAAAAATTTGGTATTAGCCTGAAGGAATTAAATTTCCAATAGGAAATGCTCGGTTTTCAAAGAAAATCCATGTTTACTTTTAAGGTAAATGCCCCAAACAGCCAACAGTGAGTCAGAGTCAGATGCGGCAGGACGAAAAGAGAAAAAGGAAGCTGTTGCCAAAAGTCTGCATAAAAGTTCGCAGACCAACTGTGAAAACTATTGCTGGAAATACCAAATACGGAGCCATCAAAAAGCCATGACAAGTCAGACGGAACAACAGTGACATGTAGATGCGAGAGGAGGGCGGATGCTTGCCACGGGGGATGCTGAGGGGAGGTAATCAACCCTGGACCGGAAGCGAGACTGCTAAAAATATTGGCGCCACTTTGGCGGCCCGTCTGGCCGGAGAGTTGGCGACGTCTGCGGCTCATCTCAAAGCTCTTGTTATTGTTATCGATTTTGGTGGTATGAGTGTGAGTGGGGGTGTATATGAGTGTGAGAGTGAATGAAAAATAAGGAGTCCTTGAATGCGGATACATCCACCGGGATGCATAATTCGGGAACAACCCCGCCTGGCACTGATGACATCATCATTGCCATCAAAACCAGCATCCCTCGCATTGGTAAACAATTTTCACTTCCCAACTTATCCATCGAGTTTTATTTTATTTTTCCCGCTCCATATTACCCCAAAGAACATTGTTGGCTTGTATGAACATTATATTTTATGCTTATAATGCGACTCGATTACTTTAAAGCTGTTTATCGTCTCCAGCCGCCGCCGCCACCATCATCGGGTTAACAATTTTTTACTGAGTCATTTGCCGGGCTGCCACAGACCGACAATTTGTAGCGGCCACTGACGCACAACAAGCCCAAACACACCATTTACAGCCATCAAAGGAATACATATTTAAATTATACACTTTTCCGCGTCACGCAATTTGCACATGCATGCGTTTTTCACACCACATGAGAGTGGTGGCGAAAATTGCAAACTTTCCTCAAAGTTACTAGAATGTTTTTCATATAAGTGGTGTTCTCTAGACGAGACGAAGTCGAAGATTTAGTAATAAAAACTGTGGAAAAGATATACTAATCCAATCAGGGAAATATATTTTTCAGTATTAGTAGTTGAATCTTAGATTTTAAGACTTTATTAGTATGGTTTTATAGTTTTATTAAACAACAATACCTACTTATTCATTTTCATTTTAAGATTCCTTGGTATGCAGAAGCTGTTCATTTTGATGAACTAAAATTGTTGTATTGCCTTTATCCAATTTTCTTGTTTGCTTTCATTTTATTTGATTTAATCAATGTGCATCGGCATTTTCCGGCACACATTTTCCCCAACACAGCTCCGCCTCGTCCTCGTCCTTTTGGTGGTCCTTGGCTCCTTTGCCGCAGTGCTTTCTCTTTAACGATTTATTTATTTGTGTTTGACTTTCACTGTGTGGGCGTAAAATGGCGCGAAGGAAGCTCGAAAGGCAAATACAATTACAGTGAGTGCTCCTGGCCCGGCATTCCCGGCCCTCGCCTAGCACCTGGCTATTGGCCTGGCCGAACGGCACGGATGAAAGCAAAGACGCAGGTAAACAAATCATTTGGAAAATATTTTTGCGCACAAATCACATCAAGGTGTAAAAATTATTTACGAATATTATTTTGGCAAACCCAGCCACCCAGTCATAGCCAATGCCAGTGAGGATTCAACGAAGCGTTGAAGGAGAGCAAAGTGTGCAGAAAAGTTCGACGGCTAGATGGATTGATAGAGAGATACAAAAATTTATGGACGGTTGGGCCAAATCCGGCGGGGAGATGATGGCAAAAAATGGAAAAATGAAAAGTCAGTAGCGAATCGTGAAAAACGTGAAAAGTGTAAATATTGCCACTGCCACAATATTTATACAGTGATGTATTCTTTTTTTTTTTTTTGCTCTCCTCCTTGTGTTGCCCAACTCCATTTTGTTGATGAGTGTCAGCTTCGACGATTTTCCTGCAAGACGATAAAGTTGTTGACTGAGGGATTCAGCCAAAGGTGAGGATAGAACTTTCCTCAAAGCAGACTAGCAATTGAATGGTAATAGGCCATGCCAATACCTTGGAAATCAGTTTTTAAACATCTGAAATAATTCACTAAGATATTGCAAAACTTTAAGAATATACAAGTTTACCTTAAACTATGTAATCCGCTGAATCTTTTTCCCTTTTATTTATAATTACACAGTTTCCCTCCAACGCTGAAATAACCCCAAACATGTACACTTCTAATAAACAAAAAACAACAAAATTATTTTGGTAAAGCCAAAAGTGAGCAAGAAAGTTGGCAGTCACTTGCACTTCCGCTTACAAGTGTTGCCTTTGGGAGAGCTGGCAGAGATTATTATAATAAAACAAATAAATACGCCGAGGAGATGGGGGTAGGATGGCGGGGAAAGCACTCCATAAGGAGAATATTTGTATTTATGGCAAAAAGTTGTGTGTGGCGGCAAAATACGCGAGTCCTAACAATGCTCCACAGAAATTTTGTGAGATTTCCGGGAAATGAAAAGTCCTTGTTGAATATCTGTGTGTATGTGTGTGCTGTGTCGGTGGGGTCATGCCCCACATACGCTAATAATGTTTTTGCAGAACTCTTTCCCGGGGGTCTTTGCAAAATAATTCCTACTCCGGGCCTTGGCTGTTTTTATTCCGCCTGTTCGAATGATAATTAGGGGTATATTACGCGGGCGGGCATACCAAAACCATTGAAAGAGAAGAAAATAAACAAGTAGTGTTGTGGTAGCCAAGTTTACCTTACCGGAAGGGTTAAACAGCCAATAGCAGGTAATTGGCTAAATGTATGAAAGCTATAGATATATAAAAAATATCAGTTTTATTTCTCGTAGGTTTGGCCCTCTCGCTAGAAGGCACAGACCATAAACTAAAAGTATATCGTAGCTAGCTCATGTTCGAATCGAATGAATGAAAAAGGCAATTAAAAATCCCAAATCCGGCTCAAATAGAAGCTCCTGCTACTCATGTTACGGGGCATAGTCCCCGAATCGGGCAGCTCAGTCATATCTTTCCCCATCAGCCAAATTGCCCAAATGAGTGCCATAATGCTGTGACCTTTGCAAGTGGATTTTCGGCAGGAATTGGTGCACTTTCAACTGCAACATTCCCAGCCATCGTCGAGGGGGCATTAATTGTGGGGGGCAGGCGGATCTTTTTGCAATTTTCACTGGTACGGCCTGGAAACGCATCATTTGGATAATCAGCTATCCTCGGTCCAAGCCCTCTTTTGGATTCGATGAGTCTGCATGTGTGTAAATTTTTGAGGATGTTCGTGGGCGAGTGAGTCAGCTCAGCTTAGCTCTCTTAAACTTTTCCAACTGCGGGAAATTTATGATGTTTTCATAGTTTTCTTTTTCGCCCCCGACATGACTGTGGAAAATTGTCGATCCTGCATATTTGAGTTTTTATCCTGTGGTTTATATCATTCCCCAAACGACAGAGATGGGCGACAGAGAATCCGGGGGGTCTGAGACAGCGTTTGCGGTTTATTAATATTTTTTGACTGCCTCGATTTCCCGCCACTGTCTGTGGCTTTGACTTTCACAAAAGTTTTCAGACGATCTGGCGGGGGATGGCTCGGGGACTGTGTTTTTGATTGGGGTTTTAGCTTTTGTCTGAACTAGAAATAGATGGAATATTTTCGGATTAGTTTAATATGCAAAAAAGTTTCATTTTTCCATGTTTCTGTGTTTTAAATAAACTACTCAATAAACAAAGAATGACAC